CCAAAGCACGAGCACCCGGTTGGAGCTACCCATCCATCATGCACCCAGCCCAGCTGTCGGCCACTGCTGGGGCCACCGGGTGCCCTGCATCTGGCAAATCCCATGGGCTGGAATTAGGTGGCCTTGAAAACAGGGGTTGCTCAGTCTGTCCCAGACCAGGAAGGAAACCTGTTTATTAGCATTTTGATTCATAGTAATGTGCATGCACTGGCAAAGCCCAGGCATTGCGAGTCCTTGTAAACCACATAATTAGACTGATAGGTGAGCTGGAGCAAAGCTTTGGCCTCTCTTTTGATTCATTCTCTCTCAAAGCAGAAAGAATGAGTGGCTGGGGGCCCATTGTGGTCCGCTCCTGCAGCCCAGCCTCCCAGTACTGCCTCAGCTCACCCCCATCCCTGGAAAGAGGACTACCCTCTCTCGGGGTGGTGGGGAGGCCCAGCCTCTAAAGGCTGTCACGAGGTTCCCTCAAGGCAGATAGGACCATGCAGAGGAATTGTGGCTGCCATATTCCAGAAAGTGTTGCTTAGTGGGAGCCGGAGCTGAAGACAGTGAGGACTGTTGTCCCCCTCTGGAATCTGCCTGAGCAGTGGCCCTGGGCTCGGGGTGATTCATCCAGTACCTGGAGCCTGGCCCAGTGTGCTCAAGGTGCAGCGTGTGAACAAGGCCCTGTCTGAGCAAAGGTCTGGGAGCAGACTGTCGCTTTGGGGAACGCCCATCAGCTGCCCTGATTTTGCATCTTGTACACTGAGTGTGAGTAGGCCCTGGAGCAGCACCGCAGACCTGGTGCCCTGCAGCCCTCAGCATAAAGTGGATGGTGGAGAAGCCAGGTGAAGCACTGTGGCACAGAGAGCTTAAGCACTTGGCACTAGGCCACCCAGTGGCCGAGTGGCAGAGCTGAGGGGTCTGGCTCCAGAAACTGGGCTCTTCCCCGCTGAGCTGCAGCTCAGAGAAGCAGAGAAGGAAGCAAGACTGAAGAGAGAGCTGTCTCCACAAGCAAAGGAGGCAGGGGAAGAAGAAACATGGAAAGTTCTCCCTCAGCCCAAGGCCTGGGCCAGCACTTGCTGCCTGGGGCAGAGCTGGGGCCTCGCAGGCGGGGCGGCTATGCATCCAGCCTGGGAGGAACGGCTGGGCTCAGATCACAGCCAGGCCACATAGCAGCACCATGTGGAGCAAGCTTCACTGTGCTGTGTTGTTGAATTTTGTCCCCAAAATGATTGGCTGAAGTCCTAACCCCGTACCTCAGGATGTGACCTTATTTGGAGATAGGGTGTTTGTAGATATAAATTAGTTAAGATGAGGTTGCACTGGAGTAGGGTGACCCTTGATCCAATATGACTGGTGTCCTCATAAGAAGACAGGGACACAGAGAGCAGATGGCCTTGTGAACAGAGACACATGGGAGAACGCCATGTGCCGGCAGAGGCGGAGGCTAGAGTGCTGTGTCTACAAACCAAGGAACGCCCGGGACCCCCAGAGATAAGGAAAAGCAAGGAAGGGTTCTCTCCAGAGTTTTGGAGTGAGCAAGGCCCTGCTGACACCTTGATCTTGGACTTCTGCCTTCCAGAACTGTGAGAGAATAGATTCTGTGGTTTAAGCCATGCAGCCTGTGGTACTTTGTCACAGCAGCCACAGGAAACTAACACAACCGCTTTTGCATTTTCCACCAGCCTAAGGTGCTCAGCCTGACCCATTATTGACTGCCGTCTTGAGTCTTGGAGGCATTTCATTGCCCCGGAAGCCAACCTACCTCACCCCGAAATAGATGTGAGCAAACGGACTGGAATGACCGTATTATTGGGCACCTGCCTCAGGTGTGGGCAGTGGTCAGGCTATATCTATGTGGAAACACTCAGAGTAGCCAGGTGTGTGCATCAGTTATGGTTGAGTGATGAAGGACAGCGTCTGCTCAGGTTGAAGAAGAAAGAAATTTATCACAGGGTGTTAAATAGCTTATAGCGCTGGAGCGGGGCTGTTTGCTGCCATCTCCCCCTTTTGTGCTCTCTATAAAATTCTCCAGTGTCCTTTAGGTACATTCTGCTGTCTCTTATCTTCAAGATAAAGCTATGAAGCAGCCCCGTCAGATATTCTTACCTCGGTTGAGAGAGGAGGAAGGTGAGGCTGAGGGAGGTTAAGCCACTTTCTCCGAATTGTCTGACCTGCTGAAGGCAGAGCCACGGACCACCGCCCCAACCCTTTCTACCTGCCAGCCATCTCGAGCTGCTCTCCCCTGCTCACTTCAGACTGATTAAGAATGGAAAAGCAGAAAGGCAGTGCAAGTGTGGGTTGGGAGACCTGGATCCCAGCACTGGGCCTGCCTGAGCCTGCTGAGGTCTGAACAAGCCCCTTCACCTTTCTGAGCCTCTGTTTCCACACCTGTAAGGTGGGGTGGCTGGAATGCATCTGCAAACTTCTTTTTCGGCAGCGGGAGCCTTCTTTCAAGAGAAACATTGTGCGTATCTACATTTAAGACAGGAAAAGGCAGAGTTGCTGTGGTTGCCACAGAGAGGGATCCAGACTGCCCCCCCAAGATACTCCTGCTTGGGGCTTGTGGGGCTTCAGCCCCTGACAAAGGCCAGGTACTGCTTGGTTGAGCCCACTCATATCGTTGCGAACTGTGACTTTCCTCTGCAGAGGAAGAGCAGGAGCGGGCAATCTCTGGGAGTTCAGGGTGCCTGGACGTGGAGGGAGGGAGGAGGCGGGGAGAGGTGCTGGGTATTTAGGAAACAGAGGAGTTGACTGATTGGGGACGGGCCCACCTTGCGCTGAACATGTTAGATGTGGTCCCCTCTTCTCCCACCTGTTTCCTAAATGAAAAATCTTACATCCTAGTCTACCAGAGGAAACATTTGTTTAAGGTGAAATGAGCAGTTTTAAAAGTAGGAAGGGAAACAAGCCTGTCTTGGAGGGCTGCCCCAGGGGAGGCATCCACTCTGCTGGACCTTGGCGGAGTGGCCTCCATAAAGTCCTGGGTGCTGCCCTCGCTGTCTGGCAGAGCAGCACTGCACACACGTGTGTGTGTGCATACATGTGTCTGCACACTGGTGCTGCCCACTGCATTGCCGCTTCCCTGCTCCTCACCAACACATCACAGGTACACATGGCAGCTCCCAGAATGGGCACGTCCCAGGCAGCTGAGGGAGAGCTTCCTGACTGGCTCGGAAAGACCAGGTGTGGTGTCGCACCCACTGAGTCCACTTCCACCCAGAATTTGAGAAAGCTTTGAATAAGTGTGACGGGATCGCTTGGCTTAGTATTGCTGCGGTTTGCCTTTATTCACCAGAGCAGCAAAGAAAGTGCCCTTGAGATCCGTGTGAATCTGGACGTGCTGGCCATCTGCCTGCACTTGTTTGTTAACTGACACCAGAGGCATCCCATGTGCCTCTTCTAGAATCATGTCCAAGCAAGTGTCTTCTGAATGGAGATGTTCACAGGAAGCCACTAAATTTTAAAGCCGCTGAGGAAACCTTTGATGCATCTTCTGGAAAAGGCCATGGACTTGCCTGAGAAGAGGCTGGCGGCAGCCATCCGTGAGAACAGGCCTGTTCATCTGAATCTGTAGTTTCTTCTTTCTCTGGCTTTGCCTGTCGCCAGCCGGAAGGGACATCACACGTTGTCACAGCCCTTGGAAAGTGTACTCCTGAGGAAGAAGGGTGAGGCTAACCTGGCGAGACCCAGCCAGAGATGGTGTTTAATGAAGAGTTCACACTGTAAGGCACAGAGGAGCCGGGAGACCAGAGTACTCAGAAAGGGCTCAAAGGAGCCGGTCTTTAAGGATGGATAGAATTAGAAAGGGCTCCAGAGGGTCAGAGGAGGAAACTCAAGGTTCAAGGGATTATTAATAATAGCTAACGTTTCGTCCATACAATGGAATATTATTCAGCCTTAAAAAGAAACGGCATTCTGACACCTGCTACAACATGGATGAACCTGGAGGGTGTTATGCTAAGTGAAATAAGCCAGTTACCAAAGGACAAATACTGTATGATTCTACTCATATGAGGCGTCTAGAGGAGTCAAATTCAGAGAGGCAGAACATAGAGTGGTGGATGCCAGGGGGAGATATGGGGGGTGGGGGAATCAGGAGTTAGTGTTTCATGGGGACAGAGTTTCAGTTTGGGAAGATGATAAAAGTTCTGGAGATGGATGGCGGTGATGGTTGCATAACACTGTGAATGTGCTTAATGCCACCAAACTGCACACTTAAAAATGGTTAAAATGGGGCCAGCCCCGATGCCCTAGTGGTTAAGTTTGGCGTGTTCCACTTCAGCAGCTCACTCTTCTGTCGGTGGCCGTGCTGTGGCGGTGGCTCACATTAAAAAAAAAAAAGGAAGAAAAAGAAGATTGACAACAGATGTTAGCTCAGGGTGAACTTCCTCAGCAGAAAAATGGTTAAAATGGCAAACTTTTTGTTATGTCTCTTTTCCCACAATATAAAAAAAAAAAAAGCTAACATTTATTGAGCACTTGCTGTATACCAGGCACCTCACAGAGCACTTTCCTCCTCACGTGGTTCTCTAAATAGCCATAGGAAGTAGGTGCTGTTAACTGTTTTCCTTTTACAAATGTAGAACCTGAGGTTTGGGGTCTCCTGAGGTCTTATAAGTCTCCGAAAGCCAGACAACCAGTGATGGTCCAGTGTGGATCGAACCAGATATGTCGAGTCCAAATGCAAACCCTAAACACTGCACTGTGTGAGCAACAGGCTGAAATGCGGGAACGGAGGGCGGGACTCCCCTTCCTGCCGGTCCTGTCCTCCCAGTCTAGAGGCCAGTGTTTCTAAGTGTCCCTCGTGCTGCTGGCAGCAGGGATGTGTTTCCATCTACCTCCAGAGGCCACAGCCCCATTCATGCTCTTGGATTCAGTGGAGCCCTCATTGTGGCTCTCAGCTGGTCTCCCCGTTGCTTGGCAATGTTGGCCATCGTCCATTGGCCATAACTTGCACATAATTGTCCCCACGACCCTTATTTTAAGGAGTGACTGTGTCGCCTGATCTCTTACAGACCACAGTAATCGACTACGTGAAACCCTCAGATCTCAAGAAGGACATGAATGAGACCTTCAAGGAGAAGTTTCCTCACATTAAGTTAACACTCAGCAAAATAAGGAGGTACGTGAGGATCGGCATCTGCTTGAACTTTCCCTTCGGTCCCCTCGCCCAGCCCAGCATGTTAAGCTCATGCTTTGTGCGAGGGTTCTTCCTGTTGTTCTGGGCACTTGCAACACAGGCACGTTCAGCAAAAAGACTCATCCGATGCTGGCTGGCTGGTGCCACGATGTGAGAGCCAAGGGAAGCAGGACAGAAGGCAGAGCTCTTGACACGAGTGGACATGGATCTGGGGGGAGGTTCCTCCAATGAAAGAATAATTTCATGCTACCGGCAGCTCACCAGTTCAGTAGGATTTCTGTTTTGGAAAACTCAGAATAGGAAACATTCGATTCCTGCTTTGTCAAATGTAGACAAAACAGAAGAGAAAAGAGTTGGTATCATAGGATTTGAGATAATGCTTTACCCACAATTGTCCGCCCAGAGGTAACAGCCAAGCCCTATCTTTAATCAGTCAGCAAAATAGCCAGGGCTAAATCAGGCTGGTATTTCCCCAACAGCTGATTGGATCAACTTTGTGGTGACCCTCATCTGCCAGCCAGACAGTCAAGAGGACTGGCCCTGCTGGGCCGGAGAGGAGCTGACTCGTGGTGTGGTATCTGTGTTCCAGGACAGCGAAATTTCAGTGCGCGTGTGTGTGTGTGTGTGTCTAGTAATGGAGGCTCGACTGTACACCAGCACAATGTTGGAATATGTGCTAACATTTACACACATGTGTATTGTAGTACATTTGATTTGATTTGGTTAACATTTGAATGATTTGATTCTGGCATGTTCCAAGCCAGAGAGGTGAGAAAAGTTAAGTATTCACCCTGTGGCCACTTGCTGGGCAGCGTTCCTTGTACACTGGTGGTTGTGCTCTCAGCTTCCCCCCTGTTCTGCTGTAGTTAATGAACATGACTGACATTCGGCAGAACTGATACCAGGTACCTAATTCATTCCTCGTTCATCTCTCTGGAATGACCATAGTTCCCCTCAGAGTTTCCCTCTCTCAGAGAGAACCTCAGACTTCCACTTGGGTTCAGTGTGTCCCGAGTCAACCTGGTCTGTACAGCTTCACCAACAGAGAAGAGTGCAAAGCGCCCACGACTTGAGTGTGTTCCTCACACGTTGTGTGACTTTCTCACTCAGGGATGTCATCCCCTTCCGCGTCGCCCTTCTGGGAGTGAGAAAGAGAATGAACTTTCCAGATGGAGTAGTCTTTCTCTGGGGTCCCTGAAGCTCCGTGTTCTAACAAGACTCTGCCCCCCTTCTTGTTTTCTCTAGTCTGAAGCGAGAGATGAGGAAGCTGGCTCAGGAGGACTGCGGCTTCGAGGAGCCCACGGTGGCCATGGCCTTTGTCTACTTTGAGAAGCTCGCCCTCAAGGGGAAGCTGAACAAACAGAACCGGAAGCTTTGTGCCGGAGCCTGTGTGCTGTTAGCAGCCAAAATTGGAAGCGACCTCAAAAAGCACGAAGTCAAGCATTTGATTGATGTAAGTGGCGCGCGTCGGATGGCTGGGGGAGCAGGCGCCCCAGGGCAGCATTTGTCTCTCAGAAGCCTGGTTGGAGAATTCTGATCCTTAGTGGGTTACAGAGACCAGGGCTGTGAGGTCATCCTTTCTGCAGTGGATGTCAGATGCCACAGCTCAGGCTGTCTTAATACAAAGACCATCCGCTTTGACGAGACTGAAGATCCCCAGTGAAAAATCCATTTTCAGACACCATGAGGGGTGAAATTATTCTCACAGCCACAGAAGCCACTGTACTGATAAGGGGTCTTGTGGGCAGTGTGAGCCGCAGAGCGTCCTTCAGACATTGGCTCAGCAGACCTTGGCTTTCTGCAGCCCTGGTGGCCTCCTCTTTGGGGAGAAGCGTGGGTTTGACTGAGTGATATCTCCTTTCTTTTAAAGGAGAGCGCCATCAAAACAAGGAAACGATGATCTTTTTGGACCGATATATGAATGCCTGTTTTAAAATAGAGTGTATTCATAGAAAATTTGGGGTACCATAAAACCAACAGATCAGGAGACAGCTGCCCTTGAAAAGACAGTTTCTTACTCAGGTTCCGAGAGGAGGGGTATCTTAGCCACAATAAAACACCACAGACTGGGAGCTTTCAACAACAGACGTTTATTTCTCAAAGTTCTGGAGGTTTGGGAGTCCAAGATCAGGATGCCAGCTGCTTTGTCCTGGTGAGGGCCCTCCTGGCTTGCGATGGCCACCTTCTCGCCGTGTCCTCACATGGCCGGGAGAGGGAGAGCAAGCCAGCTCTCTGGTCTCCTCTTATAAGGGCATAATCCCATCCTGAGGCCTCCTCCCCCTTCAGCTCCTCACCTGGGGTGCTCCCCATTTCTACTCCAGCAGCCCCTACAGCTGAGTGGACTGAGAGGACCAGGCAGGGAGCCCCGGGCACGAAGCCCAATGCTCTGCGCTCAGCCCACTCAGACACAAGGACTGCGTGATGCTCTGAAAGTGTGGCCACCTCACCAGGACTCTGCGACCAAACTGCAGAGAATCAGCTCACCCGTTTCTGAATTTACCACATGGTTATCGTTGTAGACGATTTGCTGTATTTTTAGTCTTACCTCAAAGCCTGAGTAACTTAGTTGTCACAGGTAGAGTTGGAACCCCAGTTAAGTCTGAATCTCAGTGTTGCAATTTATTGCCCATGTCATCTTGGACAAATGAACCTCTGGAGCTTGTTTTCTCCCCTGTGAAATGGAGATAAATGTGACATTATTGAGAGACTGCATGAAGCCGTGGATACGTGTGCGGCTCCCAGCTGACGGTTGCTCTTCCGGGAGCTTTGATCCCCTCTCTGCCTCCACGGTCTTGCTCGTAACAGGTTTCTCTGTACGCACGCACTGGCTGATGGATAGAGAGGGGCTACGTGTGGAGAGAGCCTAGTATTTTCATTTCAAAGCTAAAATGCTTTTGGTTTTCCTTAAATTTGTTGCAGAAACTGGAAGAGAAGTTCCGGCTGAACAGACGAGAACTGATTGCCTTTGAATTCCCGGTGTTAGTGGCCTTGGAATTTGCTCTTCATCTGCCAGAGCACGAAGTCATGCCCCATTACCGCCGCCTGGTCCAGAGCTCCTAGCACCGGCCCGAGGAGGGCCAGGGACCGCTTCCTCTGAGTGCGGCAGCGTTCCACTCACTACTGGGAATGCAGAGATAGAGCCCATCGTAGCCAACTGTCTTCCTGTCGACATGTTTTTGTGTAGAAGCAGCTCGGGAACCTCTTCAGGGAGTCTTTGGTCTGGCTAGCCGAGCTGAGCCATGAGCTGCTTCCTGTTCAACAGGGCAGGGGAGACCCAGCAGACGGCGGCGGCAGCCCCTCCAGCCCTCTGCTTGGCAGGAATTTCTAGCTGCCTCACCTGGTCTTCCTCCCGGTACACCCAGCCTTGCAAGTGCGGTCCAGGCCCTTCTCTCCAGACTCATTCCAACTCGGAGTATGAAATTCTAGAGCGGAGGGGAGAAGAGTATTTGCAGAAGTTGGGGGAAAGCTTTTAAAAGACCCCCTCACTGGGTCGAAAGAGCGTGCCAATCTATTTTTGTATCAGCTGTTAGAAGTGCACTGTCCCCTAGGGAGTGTGGATGAGCGAGTGTGAGAACGTGTGTGTCTGAGAGAGATTGCGTCAGCCCTCGGCCCCCAGAGCCTGTCCCACTAGCCGTAGAGCAGACCTCGGCCTGGGGTCGTGAGCCAGGCTGACCTTGGGTAGTTATTTCTAGATAATCTCTGGATAATACTCACTCTCTCAGTACCAGATTGTCTGACAGCCTCTGCCCTTAGAAAATGACGTCGTTTCTGTACTGCTTCTACCACCAACGGGACAGAGAAGACAAGTTCTCGGGGATGGATGAGTTGGTGGCAAAGCATGGCGTGTGGCGCTCTGTGCCCTTCTGCCATCACACCGCATGCACAGATTTCACCCTCGCACTTTTCCCACCGTGGAGACGGCCGGGGCTGCACTCCGTGGTGTGGGTTCCTGTGCTCTATGTTAGAGTGCGTGATGAGCACATTTATTGTGCTATATATGTATATATGAAAGATGTTTTATAAAAATCCAGAATAGGGGTAAGACGCGTGATTGGCGTTTCGGGGCTTTTGACGGCTGGGACAGGCTGCGTCTTGAGCTGAGGTTGAGTCGATTGATGAGGCAGTGACTCTTGTCATCGCCATATACCCAGGGCTGTCGGTGCAGAATTTTAATTGTGACTTGTACTGACTCACTGGGATGACCTGTACTGAGGCATGTCACCTCACAGCCACAAGAGAGAGGTGCCCACCAGGGTTTGCCTGACTGAAGAAAGCCTGTGGCCGTGTAAAAAGAGAATTAAAATATTTTATTGTTTCTCTGTACATGTATGTGTCTGTATAGACATACCCCTGCCCTGCCCCCACTTCAGATTTCACACACAGTCCCGGAGCTGCTCACGTCACCGCGGAGAAAGGGCGGGGGGGAGACTGAGTGTGAGAGGACAGCCACACAGGATGGAGAAACTCAGGGAGCAGTTGGGAGAGAGCAACCAGGATACTCGCGTTCTCCGGGGCGGCAGATTGAACTGCATTTAGTCCCAGATATTTTGCTAACGAGTGTCCTTATCTGGGTTCAGTTGTAAGACAGTGATTCTGCTGGGGGATGTGATGAACATGTCTGGCTAGATCAGCTCGTATTTAAGGGGCGCCTGCTGTTTAGCAGGCAAATTGGGGAGGAAGTACCAAGTCTTCACATGCCACCATCGCCTGAACTACGGTTCTCTCCCGGCAGCTGGGGTCCGTCACTTGCAGCTCTCTGACGAGCCCCCCGGTTCCCAGCCCACTCAGCTCACTGAGGAGTGCCTGGCCAGGGGACAGCCTCTCTGAGAGGCAGGGCCGCTGGCACCTAGAAGTTGCCCGCAAAGCTCCCTGCCAGCGCTCTGCCTTGAGTCTCCTTCCAAGCTTGGGGGGACAACCAGTGGGCAACACAGGCCACCAGCCCAGACATGAGGAGGGCAGCCTGCATCCCTCCTGCGTCTTAAAATGAGACTAACATTCTTGAATTTGGGGTAATTTGTTTGGTTTTTAGCATTTATGAGATGGACTTAAGAACTTGTTGGTCCAGTTAAAAAAAAAACAATTTTAAACTTTATTTTGGCCTGTGGATTTGTTGAGTGGGAGTTTTATTGGTCTTAATTTAGTTGGGAGGGGGCTGAGATGAAAGATTTTGTCGAGAGCTTTCCTTTCGCCTGTCCACAGCAGGAGCTTTCTGAAGGGAAAGGGCACGAGATGGAGGATGGGGATGAAGCCAGAGCCGCCCCTGTGACGTGTGCATCCCAGACACTTCCCAGCCTTGGGCCTCGGCAGAGAGTCGAGGAGGCAGCCCCAGCCTGTGTGGAGAGAAGGAGACTCAGCAGACTGTTCTAGAAGACCCTGAGGCTCTGTCCTTCCACCCACCACCACAGCGAGCAGGTTCAGGCCCCTTGCAAGGCCCACTCGCTCTCAGGCCTGCCCTGAGCCTCTCCAGCTCTCCCCATGCACAGACGTCTGTGGGGAGCCCTGCCCGGCCAGATGCTCCTCAGGACAGCACTGGCTGCTCTGCCTGACTTGGTTTCCCCGACTGGCTTGGGGGATCTGGGGCTCCTCTCCTCTAGTCAGCCCTGACTGTTAAGTTAGGTACAAGACGGGATCAAGCGAGCAGACAGGCTAGTGCAGCCGCCCCCTGCCCAGAGTACCTGCCCTGGGTGCCTGAGCCCAGGCCAGCCCAGTCACTGCTTTCCCTATCTGTCCCCTAGTCAAGCCTCTCTTAAAGCAGGAGACCCACACCAAGTGCAAAGCTGTGCATTTTCCTTGGTTGCTTTTTTTTTTTTTTTGATCAAAAATTGCCCTACCACGGTTTCTGTCATCCTCACCCAGCAGGCCCATTTTGGGCTGTCCCTTATTCCACACAAACCAGTCTGTACCACAGGCCCTGCCTCACTGACGTGGGAGCAGGGGACATTGGAGTTCCTTCCCCTCCTCCTTATTGTTAACACTCCGTCCTGTCCTCTTCATTCCACCAACAGCAAATAAGACTGCTTGCTGCCCCTGCAGCTGGATTCTTTCTCTCCCTCTGAGACATTTCCGTGCCCACCTGCCAGCCCTCGCCTTCCACCAGCGCTGGCTGCCCCCGTAACTCAGATCCTGAAGCCACCTCACCCCCTTGCAATCTGCAAGTGGGGAGGGGGAGGCTGGAGAACAAAGCCACTTTGAGCTAGGTGGTTTCGTTACCTGCTAATTGTGTTATTTATCCAATGATGGAAGAAGTCCTTCAAAGAAAGGGGTTTGTGAGGGAGCATCCCAGGGGCTCACCCCTCCCAGGGGCAGGCAGTCCATCTCCCCAGGGTTTGCAGGGCCATTTGGTTAAGGACAGCACTAGCCAGGTCACAGCAGGCCCAGGTAGGAGAGTGCTGAGGGCCAGGGACGGGAGGAAACATCAAGACTATAAATCTGGAGTCACATGTCGTTAACACCAACTTAAACAAAAGGTCGCTTCAGGTAGTGCAACTGCAAGGCAGAACTGAGGTAAAAAGCTATAAAAGAATGAGATGATAGGTGAAGGCAATGGTCATCTTACTGCCAAAGGAACCCAGTGCAGAATGCTCAGAGCCCTCACCCCATAAAGGACCATTCGGACTTCTAAGTAGAAAGACTGCAAACACAGAGCTGGCTGAACCGTGAAGATGCCTGGCAAGGATGGTGCCTGCCCATGTGCCATCTCCCACTGTCATCTTGCTACTCAAAGTGTGATCCGAGGACCAGCAGCATCGCCATCACCTGGTGGCTTGTTACAAATGGAGAATCTGCATCTTAACCAGATCCTGTGGAGATTTACGCATTAAAATCTGAGAGGCACTGTTCCTCCATAGACGCATAGGAAAGAAAATTTTTGTCTAAAAAAGGATACAACTCATCATGTATAGAGTTGTCTAAAATAGAGAAAGGTGCAGAGACACTGTAGATGGTTTTTAATACCAAAAAAGTAGTGCCAATCTCTCTCTGAAAGGGAGTTTTGACATCTGCTTACCTCGCTGCCTCATCTAACATCTGGTTGTACGTGGCCAGAAAGATTTAAATTGGGCTAAGCTACAGTTAACCTATTGTAGGTCTCAAATGTGGAGCTGGCTCACAGGGCATGGCCTCAACCAGCGTTGACCAAGATTGCTGCTCAGATGAGGCCTGTATCCCAGGTTCCTGGGCCAGGGGGAGAGGGCTGCAGAGTGTGCTGGAGCAGGAGTCCCCTCTACCGTAGCTGGGGAGCAGTACAGTTGTGACCTTGGGGACATCAAGGATGAACAGACTTCCAGTTTCCTTGGACTGGTGTTCGTTGAGGTCCACCTAGCATTTTCTAAATGCATCTTACACTGGGTTCTGTGGGTGACAACAGGGCCCCCAAGGGCCTGCCCCTGAGGAGTTTCCAGAGGTTGGAGAGAGAGCCCTGGGGGCAGGTGGAAGGCAGCCTGAGTGGGCGCAGTGATAACTGTTCTCCAGAGGGAGCCCCGGCAGAAGCTCGAAGGGAAGTTCTGACTTCAGATGGCCCTGCACTGGACAAGGCCAAGGCAGCAGGTTAGAATTGCTGCTGGCACACAGAGGACCAGGCAGGCCAAGTTAGAGCAGCCCTATGAGTGAAGGCCGAGAGGACAGGCAGGATGAATCAGACTCCTTTCCAGAGCACCTGGACGGCTCGGTGAGAAGCCAGAGACATGAGCAGCACTAGGCAGAGAGCCCTTGGACACAGAGCCAGGGGGCAGAGCTGGGGAGGACTTGATTCACCACGCAGACAGCAGGCGCAGCGCCGAGCTAGGCACCTAAAGCACACGTTCTTAGTTAACCTTTAAACAAACTCTAAAATTAGGTCTCATGCTCCCATTTCATAGATGAGGAAACAGAGACTCTGGAAGACTGCTCCCCCAGGTCACACAGCTATGTAGTGGCAAAGGCAGCAGTCGTATCCAGGTCTGTCTGATCCCCAAGCCCGCCAGCTGTCCTGCCTCAAGCTTGGGTCAAAATAGAGAAGCTAAGAAAGCAAAAGGCCAGAGCCAGGCTGGCGTCAGATGTCCGGCTTGACCTGCTGCACTGATGGCCTCTCGGATTAGGAGGCGCCTTCTCCCCACCCCATCCAGCAGCCGCCAGCCCTTTCTGTGCAGAGAGCGAAGGGATCTGGAGCCACTAAATTGTTGTCCTCTGGGCTCTGAGCAGCCTTCAGAGCTGACGTGAGACACACTTTTGGGCCCTGTAGAACACAGGCTTTCTGGAAAACCTGCTTCAGCAACAAAGCAGACGACCACAGTGCAGAGTAACAGGGTCTATGGGCTTGCCCATCAGCATTTGACCAATTAGTTTCTCATTGTGTATGTATGGGTTTTCCACTGTGTGTGATAATTAACACAAATTCTCTTTGCCCCACTCTCTGTGTGTTTCTTGGCTGCTGTTCCTCCTACCAGTGTGTGACTCAGAAATGCACACGTTTTTCTCTAAGGCTAAGTCAGGTATACCTCGGGCAGGCAGGCAGCCAGCGGGGAGGCCACATCGCACAGGGGAGTCCATAGGATGCTCTGGGATTATGAGCTGTTTGAGACTGTTCATGCCTCAGCCCCCAAATGTCACAGGCACAGGCCATCATCAGATGTAAAGAAAGGCCCTTTCATGATCATTAACTGCTACTCGAGACCATGGGTTCGGGACAGCAGGAACAGCATCCCCAAGCACCCGGCACAGTGCCTGGTACATGGAATACACCAAACAAATGTTGGTTGAGTTGAATGAACTATCACAAATGTAGGGGAGGAAGACATTTCCTCTACCCTCTCTGGGTTCGTCTGGCTGGAGAATGAATTAAATTCACATGAGACAGAATAGCAGGAGAAAATTAAACAAGGCTTTGTGAAGACCATGGCCCGGGGCCTCTCTTCCTGAAGGAAGGAAGAAAGGGCACCAAAGAAGTGGGGTGCGCAGAGTGGTTATATACCCCCAAACAGGATGTTTCACATATGATTGAAATGTCCCTCCCACAATAGTCACAAGATTGCCCTGTTGGCACAGCACTTGATGGACACAACAGGTAGTGGGTCTGCTATCTTGGTGGGCTTAGCAAGAGGCAAGTCTATTGTCTCGAGTTGGGTGGTCACAGGTGAGCCCAGCAATCAGTTCCTAGCCTAAGGAAAGATGCTTAATCCTGAAGGAAATGCCAACGTTGGGAGGGGGAGGGAAGTTGCACCTTTACCTCAAGGACCTTTGTTCTTGCCATAGTATGCTGGGGTCCTGCCCCGGCGGAGTCCAGGTTCCTGAGGGATGGACGGCGTCGGCGCAATGAGGGGAAAACAAAGGGGACGTGAGACTTGGGTTGGTGTTAGCAAGTCCGACTTTACTGTGCACAAGTGTCGTTTATATATTTTTCAGGATTAGTACAGAAATAGTTCTACAAATATTCTCAGAGAGATAAGGAAGTAAAAAAATCGAGCACAAGAATATTTATTAGCATTCCATTCTATACAGCATAAGGTTAATGGTAGTCTTCTCCGCAATTAACTAGTGTTTGTTGTCTCTAAGCTAAAGGAGATAGGTACCTAGGCATCTGTTGTAATTCATGGTAAAGTTAAATCAAAGAGAGAAGGTCCAGGCCTCCGGACAGGACAGCAGTCCGTCTGGTTACATCCTGGTGGAGCCATCCCTGCCTCCCTCAATCATTTATGCCATTAGTGTAGATGGTTAATGGGAACAAAAGGCGACTCCAGGGTATCTTATCCCCAGGGCTATCTGCATCCTCAGCGGGCAGTTAAACATCTTTACTTTTTCGCGCCCTTTAGGGGGTGGAAGCATTCCTTTGTCTTTTAGATTGTAGCGCTAACAAGTCCCTTAAGTACACTGCCGGAGAAAGTATCACTTTGTTAGTAAAGTAAAGGGCTGAAAAGCTAAGCTAAGTTATATATCTTCAAGAATAAAAAACAGAAATAAGTATAGACATAACCTTGCTAGAAAGCATGCATATAATTCAGAAAATATCAGGGGTGTCGGCCGGCCATTCTTCACCGAGGGGCATCCCTGCACCCCTCGGCCCTTCTACTCATCAATTGTTTATTATTTATTGCTTTTAGGAGAAAACCTCTATAAGAT